GAGTTGGGAGCGCCCATGCATTTTGTGGAAAAGACGGACAAGCTCACAGATGGGTCATCTCTTTGGAACCCACAGTTTTGGCCCTATAGGACAAGCCTCGCATCAGCAGATTTGAAGAGTTGGAAGGTGATTCGTTCCAATGAAGAATGGAGAGACGTGGAGGACAAGACGGAGGTGTACACTGGCGTGCCGCGAAGGCTGGTGACAGTTTTCAGCAGCTGGAAAATCACAAAGAAGCAGTTGAGCATGAGTGAGCATGATATGAGGGAGTTTGTGGACAACCAAGCAGTGCTAGAAGGAACGAGAGAGTTGGAGGAGCAATTCTTTGCAAAGGAGCCGGAGCAAGGTGAGCAGGTTGAAGGCCTGGATGGAGCAGCTGGGCCAGGAATGCAGATTGTGGCAGCCCCTGTAGGGTCTGAGCCTACAGAGCTGGTTGTCAACAATCAGTCGGTGACACCGCACAGCACGTTGAGGCAACTTCGTGATGCAGCAAAGTTCTTGGGAGTCTCATCAGGAGGATCCAAGAGTAAGGTTTGGGCCAAGCTGGTCAGGGATGAAATGGCCAAGCGAGCAGGTGCGGTGGACAAGGCAGCGGCGCAACACTTGCAGGAAATGGAGCTTGCAGGAAAAGTACCCATGCAGCCGAGAGAACCGACAGCCAGAGAGAGAGAGATTCATGAAGCAACGCATCATCCCTTTAGGAGGTGGTGTCAAGCATGTGTTATGAGCAGAAGTGTGGATGACAAACATTTTGCGGATGCTCGCACTGAAGAACCGCCAGGTCAGGAGACTGGGTCAACAGTGCAGATCGACTTCATGTTTCCCAAGGCGGACCAAGAAGTTGCTGGGCAAGGCGAGCAAACCAAGCCGAAGTGTACGGTTTTGGTAGGAGCAGACAAGTGGAGCCATGCGATCATGGCTTCAGTGGTGGAACACAAAGGTGGAGTGAGTTCAGCAAAGATGATGAGAGATTTGTTTGATTTCTGTGCAAGAGTTTCATTGCAGGACATTACAATTCAGTGTGACAATGAGCCTGGTATTCTTTCAATTGCGCATGGCGTGGAGAAGATGAGATTGCAGAACGGGTTGAAAACAAAGGTACGCACACCTCTGGTAGGGCAGCCGAAAAGCAATGGTCGAGCGGAACGTGCTGTCCGTACTTTGAAGGAGCAATCAAAGACGTTGAGGGAGATGATCAAACTGAAATCTGGATATCAAGTTCTTCCTGGCAGTGCTCTTTTCAATTGGAGTATTCAGCATGCAGCATGGTTATATAACAAGTTTGCAGTGCTCAGCAAAGAGAAGACAACCGCAGGTGCATTAGCTGGTGAAGCGCCGTATCGTGGAGTGCTGGTTTCATTTGGAGAAGGAGTGCTTGCATTGAGGCCAAATCCTGGCAAGACAGAGAGAAGGTGGAGGAAAGCAAACTGGTTGGGGATATGCCCCAAATCTGGTGGGCATCTTGTCGGTTCAGTGAATGGAGTATTTGCAGCTAGGACGATTCGAAGAATGACAAAGGAGCCTGGATTCCTTCGCGGTCAACCCTGGGCATGGACTCAGAACGCATTGGGAGTCAAGGACGAACGCCGAAAGCCCGGACCTGCAGGTAAGATCTCAGAGAGTGCAGATGGTAGTGAGATCCTGGACGAAGCACAACCACTTATAAGTTTGGTACCAGTTCCCTTGCAGATGGAGGTTATGCAACAAAAAACAGGGAATGCAGGTGACAAGAAAGAAAGTATTTTGGCAAAAGCAGATGTGCCCACCTTCAGGTACAAGCGTGGTGGGGACTTTGTGACCACAGATGCAACATTTGCTGAGGATGAGCCAGCTCCGAAAGTGCGAGTACTGCCTCCTGAGGAAGCTGCATCATCAATGCCGGTGGTGCCTCCTCAACCCATGGAGGAAGTGTTGATGGAGAGGAAGAGATTGGAAGAGCAGGGTGAAACGCTAGGCCCGAGTCCCAAAGCACCGCGTGCGAGTGAAGAGTCCAGCCCCAGCAGGAAGCTACATGCGCCGATGTTTGCAGGGAACGCCAATCAGGTGAAAATTGGAGATGAAGTGTTTCCTGACCAAGATGAGTACTGGGAAGATGAATTTGGCTTCAGCGATGAGGAGGAAGATGGCGAAGCAGTATCTGCAATGGGTCATGATCTCTGGGATGGAGGTGAAGAGGAACCTCCTCACTTCGAAGAGGAAATCATGGAAGAAATTGACAGCAGGGCGCGTGAAGTAGAAACTCAAAGGTTATGGAGCATGTTAGTTTTCAGGGACATCAGCGAAGAAGAAGCTCGTGGACTTCCTCAGCTTACCTGCAAGTACGTTTATGACTGGCGCAAGGACCAAGCCACTGGGAAGTGGTACAGAAGAGCAAGAATGGTCTCAAGGGAATACAAGTTCCTAGATCCGAGACGTGGAGGTTTGTTTGCAGCAACGATTGCACCCCCAATCCCGAAGATGATGGCAGTTTGGGCATTGAAACATCCTGGGTTTGTGCATTACACTGCAGACATTTCAGATGCTTTCCTTACTGTTGATCAGCCAACACGTATGGTGGTGACAATTCCTGGCACGGACAGGCGAGTCGAGATTCTGAAGCTATTGCCTGGCCAACGTGTGGCAGCTGCAGAGTGGGCCGGCAAGATTGCAGGTGAGATTACTAAGGAGGGCATGGCATCATGTCCTGTGAGCCCCACGCTGTTTGCAAAGACAGGTGATTTAGCAGTTGCTGTTCATGTGGATGATCTGTACATGGTTGGCAAGCAGGAAAAGATAGATGAGCTTTTGAAGAGTCTTTCGACGCATATGAAGTTGAAAACAAGTGGACCCTTCAGTGAACCGGGAGATGTTTTCATGTTCCTTAAAAGACGGTTTGAGATCACAAATGAAGGGATCTTAATCACTGCGAATGATAGATATTTGGCAAAACTGCAGAGCTTGGTGAGTGAATTTCGAGTGCGTGACCGTAAAGTGCCATTGCCTGCTCAGTATTCCACAATTCCAGTTTCTGAGCAGCAGCAGAAGGACCGTCTAGATGCGTTCAAGACTGAGCTTTACAGGAAAGCAGTTGGACTTCTCTTGTACATCATGATTGACAAGCCCATGATCCAATTTCCTTTGAAGAACTTGGCTTCGAAGATGTCAGGGCCAAGCGAGAGCGACTTCTCGGCATTACTGCATTTGATTGGGTTTGTGCAAGCAACCTGGTTTCAGGGATCTCTACTGAAAGCGACACACCCTGGTGCGAGTCTTCTGGACCTGAAAGAGGTCTTCAGTGGAGGACATCCTCGTCAGGGAGCACATGCTGGAATGCAGGAAACGGTGGAGATTTACACTGATAGCGATTGGGCAACTTGCAAGCACACGAGGAAGAGTACCACTGGAGGTCTTGCGACTATTGATGCAAATCCGGTTTTCTTCTGGTCAAGAACACAGAGGTGCGTGACTACTTCATCGGCAGAAGCAGAATATGTGGCTTTGACAGCTGGAATACAAGAAGGTGTGTGGATACAGAGAGTTTGGGATTTCTTGCAAGGCAATGAGATGACAGATGGACCACTGACGGAGGAAGAGAGCAAATCTCCCAGCAGGAGCAGACTGGTGATTCGGTGTGATTCGGCAGCAGCGCGTGCAATGTGTCAGAAGGTTGGAGTGAACAGAGTAAAGCATATCAGCGTTGGACTTCTTTGGGCGCAGCAACTCAACAAGCAGAACAGGGTGAGGATTGCAGCGGTTTCGACACTTGTCAATCCTGCAGACTTGTTTACCAAACAACTGAGCAGCCAGCGCATGGATCTTTTGATGTGCGTTATGAGGTTCATCGACTTGAACACGCAGCAGAGAGTTGGCGAAGACACACTGTATTTGGAGGTGGAGCGCCAAGCGACAAAGGTGTCAATCAAGGAAGCGTTGAAGGTGATGAGAGTGCGTGCAAAACATTTCTCAATTGCTGCAAAACAGGGAGAGAGAATGGCACAAGCAGCTGGGATGATGTTCTTTCCTATTGGAGCAGATGCAAGCAAGGAGGAGGACTTGGTGCAGAGTGTGCAGAATTTACAGTGGTGGAATGTCGTTTACATATGTGCGATTTTCATTTGCTTATTTATTCTGATTTTCTGTCTGTACAAGATTTTCTACTTGGACAAAGCGTTGAACGAGAATGTGCTCATTCAGCTTCGGGAGATGGATGACTATATGATTGATCATACAAATTCGTTTACTCGCGAAACTGAAGCTAGCATTGAGAATTTGAGAGACGAAGTGAGCAGTTTGCATAGTGCAGTGAATGCGCTTGAGTTTGCAGCAGGGCATGATTTATATGGCAGGCCTTTAGAGGAGCCGAGGACGAATGCAGTTTTCACTGGAGAGAGATTTCGGTTGAGTCCTGGCAGAGATTTAGGAGCGGTTTCAAGCGTGCATGGAGCAGAAGATGATCAGGGAACAGAGAGCTTTGGCGAGATGGTTGAGCGATTGGTAACAACTGGAGCAAGTGCAGAAGAAGCAGAGGTGGCGCTGTTGAGACATGACCGAGAACGGGATCGAGTCAGAGCTGAGCAACGGCTGACATACAGCCCTATGAGGCTCAGAATGGTGCGAAGGAGCGAAAGCCCTGGTGATTGAAGCGTGAGAGAAGAGAAGCCCGGTTTGCGACTTTACGTCAATGGGCAGTATGCTGGTTTCACTTTTGAGCCCTTGGGCCACTGGCTGGCTGAGCAAGCGACTCAGGTAGCAGGTGCAAAATCAGTGAGTTTCTGGCCGAAGGTCATCAACTCAGGTGGGGTGTTGATGATTTGCACCCTTGGAACCCATTCGTGTAACATGTGGGATGTTGTGTGGTGGCATGGCTAAATATGTCATGACCGGATGCAGGGCTCAAGTCCGAGTGGCAAAAGTGCGTTTGTTGTCGGTCGCTCGTTTGTTTTCACATTCGCATTGACTTCACACGCTCCGCAGCTGTCTTCTTTCCATCAAACCAGCCTTCAAAACATGCCCTGTTGAAGCGCATGGATCGCGATAGGCTCCAAGATGTCCTCACAGACGCCCGGGCCCCAGCCTACAGGACCTGGTTTTGGCGAAAGCTCCTTATAAAGCTTCTTTTTAAGCTTCTTATACAGCTTCTTGCAAAGCTTCTTACAAAGCTTCCTTCCCATAAAGCTTCGAAAAAAGCGTAAAATGAAGTTTCTTATAAAGCTTCTTATAAAGCTCCTTATAAAGCTTCTTATAAAGCTTCTTATAAAGCTTCTTAGAAAGCTCCTTATAAAGCTTCTTATAAAGCTCCTTAAAAAACTTCTTATAAAAGCTTCAGAAAGCTTCCCATAAAGCTTCATAGAAAGATTCTTATAAAGCTTCTTATAAAGCTCCTTAAAAAGCTTCTAATAAAAGCTTCTTAAAAAGCTTCTTATAACTTATTTTAAAGCTTCTTATAAAGCTTCGTATAAAGCTTCTTATAAAGCTTCCCATAAAGCTTCTTATAAAGCTTCTTATAAAGCTTCTTGTAAAGCTCGTTATAAAGCTTCTTTCTTATAAAGCTTCTTATAAAGCCTTATAAAGCTCCTTATAAAGCTTCTTTTTAAGCTTCTTATACAGCTTCGCCTTTCATGCAAAGTCATCCCGAGCTGTGCGGTCCAAACTGCAGCTCCTGAGCCAAGCCTTTTTTGATGACACCGCAGAGGTGTCCGTAGAGCGCCACTCGCTACCGGCGGGGTGGCTCAACCGCATCCAGACCGTGTTTCGCAATGCCCTGGCCCTGCGCCAAGCAGCGCGCTTGTCGAATCTCAAGGCCTTCGACAAAAAGATGGCCGACCTGTGTCTCACACAGCCAGATCCCAGCCTTGACCTTCGCACAATAAACACACAAGAGCTCTTGTCGGCGGATCGCAAGCTCTGGGCAGCCAAATGGCCAAATCAGATCCTCAGGCAGCAATGGTCACTGGATGATGCCTTGTACGACCTGACGCGTATGAGAAACGATGTGCGCAGCCTTCTACAGTTGCGCCCTAAAATATCCAAGCCAACTGCCAGCACCGCCACGCCCGGCAACAGCGAGGCAGAGGCAACCCAAGCACGACCTTAAGCCAGCCCACGAGCCTTCACGCCCCACCAAGAAAGGCAAGGAGAAGTCCAAAGGAGCCCTGCCACCGCCTAAGCCCAAAGCAGAGTGGTGCACTACATACAAAGGGTGCGAAGTCTGCCGGCGCTACCAGACAGGCCGGTGCACTAACGACCAGTGCCGTTTCGCCCACGTGTGCGCCATCATGGGCTGCCAGCAAAAGCACCCAGCTATGGACCACAACCACACGTGAAACAGCCCGCAGGATCGGGCAGCCGCACCGCGGCCGAGCTGGCCACAACGGGCCCCATACGCAGCCTTCGCAGTTGCCCATGCCGGTAAAGGCTACCCCGACTCCGTCCTTGCCCTGCGCGCACCACACTGGGCCTGGCACAACGCCAAGGCCACACACGCTCGCCAACGCAAGCTCATCAGAACCGCCGTTACATTCAGCCTCAAAAAAGTTGTTTTTGGACGTTTTTGCGGGTAGGCTACACCCGGTGACATCGGCGCCCATTAGCCTTGGCCTTGACTGCTTTGAGCCTTTTGATTTGGATGGAAACACCGCGCGTGACACACTGGACAACGAAGAAGTCTTTCAGGAGTCGTGGTGTTGATAATGCTTGCTCCGCCTTGCAAGGAATATTCCAGACTCAAACTGTTAAAACCCTCTAGGCCCCGTGCCGAAATTGGGTAGCTGTTCTGAGGTCCTTGTTGGTGTTGCTTCCCAAGTTCCATTGATCGCCATTTGGCTCAAGACACAATTGAGGTTCAAGATCTGATGTGTGACTGCATACATACGTGATCGGCATTGAGAGCGAAAACACTTCGCTTGCGCTGCATTTGTCAGGACTACTGTTGTAACTATCATTCCTTCTCCCTTACAACGTTTACACGGGTTCGGCTATAACGGCATCGTCCGTATACACCTTTCTACGTGGTTGGTATTAAAGCTTGAGGGTTCGGTGCACAGCGTCCCACGGGACGTCACCTTGCCGTCTCTTGACAGGTTATCAGCCGTAACTACAAGCTCTACACTGGACTGGGAGACAGCTGGTTTATTGCGGGTACAGGGACAATAAAGGAACGATAACCTACACAGTACAATGGCGTCTTCGGCGAGCCCAAGTACTGCAACTTTTGGGAACAGCAGCTCAGAGGGATCCAATGGATTGATGGCTCTTCCTGCGGTGATGGATATGGTTGCAGATTCACAGGATGAACCTGGGAGCGGAGGTTCCGCGCTATTCAGCGACATATCTACTCCCACAAGATCATGGAAGCAGATCGATGTTCATCAGGAGTCGAAGAAAAGAGAATCCCCACCGAGAAGATCATCATCTTCGCCTGCGACACCACGGACGTCGCAGAAGGGCGTGAGATCGACATCGAAGGGTGGGAGGTCAAAATCACCCACCAGTGCAGATTTTCGCGCCGTGATCAAAGAGAAGAATAAGATGGAGGTGGAGATCGGGGAATATCAGAAGACACTTGATGAAATGTCGGCAGCAATGGCGAATCTTAACCAAGAAGACTATGGAAGCACCATCCGGATCCAGGAGCTGGAAAGACGATGCGAGATTGCCAGCAAGCAGTCGGGACATCTAGTGAGTCACCACCAACACCACATGGCTGAGGCATGGCGCAAGTTTGAGGAAGAAGCCCAACAGATGCGCAAGGTGGAAATGAACGCATTTCAGTACGGGGAGAAGAAAGACATGGAGTCGAATATTATAATGCAACAGATGAGGCAAGCTGAAGGAACTATCATGGAGCAGAAGCGGGAGATTGCATTGATGAAATCCTACATGGCAAGCGAGAAGTCGGCCGCGCAGGAATCAGCTATACGTGCAAATCAGATACACCGTGAGGCTTCACAACAGATATCAGTTTATCAGCAACAGATCAGAGGCATAGAATCTTCTACATCTATCGAGAAGTTCAACGAGGAGGAGATGGTCCAAAGTCTGAAATCACAGTTGGAGCATGCACTCGTCAAGCGCCCCGAGACGTACTCTTTGGAGGACTCCAGGGAACAGCTGATGGCGAGGCTGAATGACGTTACAGTATTTGCGGAACAGGAATCGAAGAGAGCAGATTGCTTGCTTCGCGAAAAAGAAGAGATCGTCAAACAGTATGAGTCCGACGTGTCGATGAAGGACCAGATGATTGCTGTCGAAGGTGGTCATCGTCAGGATGCGATCTTGGAGTTAGCCCAGGTCAAAGAAGAGAAACAAGAGGAACGGTGCACGATGGACGAGAAGTCGAAGGAGGCTGAGTACTGGAGATTGACAGCTAAGGGAATGTACGATGAGTACCTCGAGGAGATGCATGAGCTTCAGAGACAACTGAAGGAAAGAGAGGCGACGCTCAAGCAAGAAGAGAGTTTTGTACGCCAACTCGATGCTGACAACGAGGAACTACGTGCACACAAGAAGCTGGAGACACAGGAAGCCTCCAGCAGCAAAGATGGACATCGTGAACGAGCAGTAGTGAAACGCGCTGAGGGAGGAACCCAGGCTAATTCAAATAGGATAGACAAGAAGGTGGCTGGGTCAGTCCCGTCATCGTCTTCAAATCAAATCCCTAATTCGTCGCTGATGCCAGGTTCGATCCTCTTTCCGTCTTTCGGTGATCCAATGATCGATGTACACCTATCCCAGATGCAAGGGGTTGTTGGGCATGTCCCACAATCCACTACTACGACTGGTGGTGGTGATGGGGGGGGAAACAACGGTACTACGCCCCCATTGGATTACGGTGGATTCCCGCCCAATGGGAATGGGCAGGGAGCGGGTCGACGTCAGTTGAGCCTCGCTGGTGGCGGAGGAGGACCTCCGGATGATCCACCCGATGATGAGGATGAGGATGACGACGACGAAGGAGATGAGGAAGACGAGGAAGAAGAAGAGGAAGAAGACGATCGGACACGGAGGAGACGAAGGAGATCGAGAGATAACCGAGAGATCAAGAATGATCGACCGAGAATCTCGAGGAAAGAGGCCGAGAGAGTATCTATTCCGGCCTGGCCAAAGATCCATCAACTTGATACCTGGAAGATGCAACTGCTGATGAATGTTCTGAGCGCATGTGCGGATCCAGATACCGACGCATGGACGAAATGGCTGGAGCAGGCTCTTGGGTTGAACCCAGACCTGGATTTGCTTAGCGATTCAGGTGGCGACAGATTTGCTACGATAGATATTAAGATGGCCATGGGCATGCAGAACATGCTGAAACAAGCACCTGACGAAGCCAAGGACGTATACCTCGATGCTACACGACACTCTGAACTACGACATCAACAAGGGGTGATCGTGAAGGGACGAGAGTTGGTGGCATTAGTTATGCAATCATTCAGAACTTCCGATAGAACGGATCTTGTCTACCACATCGAGCATTTATTCAACCTTGACTTTCCTGGCGACAAGAACTTGGTCATGTTCAGGAACAAATGGTATGATTTGCTGCTGAAGATGAGGAGCGAGGACAGACCCAGTAAGCTGGCTCTCAGAGACATCCTTTACAGGAAGATCAAAGGGAGCAAGAAGATGGAGTTCGGCCTCAATGCCTACCATAGACTACCGGACAAGCATCCTCAGAAGACGTATGAATTCTTATTGGCGTTGATCGACTATCAGATCAAGGCAGATCGGGAAGACCTGATGCTCGACATGAAGGAGAAATCGGTCAAGTCGATGATGAAGTCAGGCGGGAAGGATGCGGCTCCAGCAACTGGCAAACAGGAGAACCAGGGTGGCAAGGGCAGAAAGGGGAAACCCGGTGGACCTGATGCCGCTCCTGTGCTCCCAAAAGCCAAGGCAAAGGGCCACGCTGGCAAGAACGGCAAGTCCGACGGTGCCAGCGACAGAGGCAAGAGTCCGGGCGGAAGCAAGGATAACCCCTGCTGGTACCACTTCAAATCGGCGAAGGGGTGCGTGAAAGGGAATGAATGCACTTTTTCCCACAGCAAGAAGACGGAGCATAAGT